TCCTGCTGATGTCAAATACTTATTTCCCATCTCCTTTCCTTTGCATTCCGGACAACACACATTGTTGTTTCTCTCCTTTTAAAGTATACTAGATATCTCAATTGTTTTAGAGTCATTAGTTCTATAAATAGCAATCATGTTCTGTATGTGTCTGTAAAGCAGTGTGTGATAGATTCTCCTTCACTGTTAGAAAAGCTTCGAGCTTCTTGATATTCCAGCATATTTACAAATGCCTACTGTTTCTAACTAGTTTGTAACATGGTATTAACAGAGTGGATTTTCCAGGTCAAATTACTTTGTTAAACAGAGGCATAACTAAAGACTTGATTTTGCAAATGCTCATAAGCGTGTTTAACTATGCTCCTGCATGATCCCACTGAGGTCAACAACTAACTCCTAAGCACACAACTAAACATGTGCTTATGATTTTGTGGAATCAAGTAGTAGAGGCAAGCATGAATGCCTGTTATAAAATATGACTGACAGCTTTAAGGTAAAGAACTTATTCTATTTTGACTCTATGCTATCCCTGTAATTCTGAATTCTTCTGCTTAAATGTGTATTTCAAAAGGATTATTTTGACATATTGTGTTAAGACACTCACTCAAGTTCTAAAGTGTTGAGGAATTTAGTAGAAGGAGTCAAAAACTGGGGGGAAAAAAAGGAAAAGAAAAAAAAGCATCACAGAAATTGAAAGTGCCAGCTGAACGTCCAAAAGATCTATTTTTTCTACAATAATCCCTCAAATGAAACAAGCTTCTCTAAACAATAAAATAATTAAATATAGAAGTTCATTATTAGAACCACACTGTTGTGCCCTTCCCCTTCTCATCCTTTCATCCCCTCCAAGCTCCAGCCAAGTGTAGTTTAGTAGCTTACATTTTTAAAGTGCGGGACATGTTATTAGCAATATGAAATATTTCTGTTCCTGATAAGAGACAATACTGCCAGTACACTGTAATTTTAGCATATTTTAATTTTTATTTACTAACAATCAAATAAACATATTAAAAAAATCAGTTGGTTAATGTTATTGGGAAGGCAGTATGTGTAGTTATGTGATTTAAGTAGAACCACAGCTCTTTGCATCAACTAGGAAAGCAGCCCGGTAACGTTTCTAAGTTTCTCAAAGATAATCCTGGTTTCTCTTTTGTTCCTGGTAGATATTTGAATTTGCAATGGGCACTGTGCACCAAAACTATCTTCAAATTCTGACTGATGATAATGTAATCTCAAGTAGTCGTTTGGGGTTTTCTTGAGAGTTATAATTATATTGTGGTAATTACAATACATGCATACACACACACATATTTATATTCAGGACACAAAGCCTATTTACCTATCTTCTGATTAAGGTTTTTTCTTTTTTCTTTTTTAATTTACTGACAAGCTGATTGACAGACATCAATTGGGATCTGTCAGCACAAGCACCAAAGGCAGTATTCGAGCCATTTCCCAACTATGTAACACACTGACATATTGGCCAAGATCAGATGTCACAGGTAAATACCCTTTTTTATTCAGTAACGGTGGCAGCAGCAATTTGGCAAATGACCAGTGTGTCTTATAAAGAAGCTCCAGTGATGTGCCTTTTGTAACAGTGCATTTCAATGTGCAATTATACACAGTAGTTGCACTGAAAAAGTTGTCTCTTAAGATTTATTCTTTTTTTATTAAAATACAAAGAAGGTCACGCACTCCTAAAAAATGTGCTCTTACGGGTTAACCTTTAATCTATGGTTTCTTTTCCTGGAGGGGGGTGGGCGGGCAGCTGCTTCAGACAAAGAAAATTGTCCTGTTCATCCATAGATGTTATTTTAATTGGTTAGGAGGAATCATTGTCAAATGTGTTACATATCTGCATGGAATTTATAGGCAGCCATTGTTGCCAGTGCTGCATTCACTCCAACCAAGGGCACATGGGGTTATCAGGCAGAACTGTGTAAGACCAGGAAATAAATCTGCAGGAAGCAACTGAGATACTCAATGTAGCTGTCAGGTGAAGGCTTGCAAAGTGATGAAAGAAAAAAGCTGCACAATAAAAACAATCATTACTTCTTCAGCCCTGGGAACTATATCCTGTTAGGGAGATGGGCTAAAAAGTTCACTGTTTGCCATCACAGTTTCATAAAGAAAAGATGACTGATTGTATTGCTTCCGGTTTTAATTAATAATCTAGTCTTCTTTATAATTCAGCTTAATTAGCCCAGACGCAGAACAAAACTTGAAGTACAAAAAACATATGGTCATGGAAAACACTGATGTCACTGATAATCCACTTAGGTCATCATAAAATTCCATATTATTATGAAAAATATATTATTGGCCAAATCACTCATTAGATAGCAGCAGCTCAAAGATCTTTCATTATTTGTAATACTTAAGTACTATTTTAAAGGCAAGTAACTCCCTAACACATTAAGCGTGCAAGCACATTAAAATATAATTACCTTCAACGCAAATGAATTTTAACAAAGCACTTTCAGAAATTCCACATATCTGCAATCTAATATTATTTAGTTATATTTGCTATATAATATTGAACCTAATTAATGTATATTTTTATACCCTCATCCTAATTAAATTTAGTGCTTTTAAAGCAGTATAAAAATAAAATCACAGCACTGAGAAGTCAGCTCCTTAAAAATAGTTTTCAGACAATCTTCAGGAACAATTTTATTATCAGTGACTCACACAAAAATTATAATTTCTGAACACGTCCCTAGGGCCCAACTGAAGCTTGTAACATGCCTAAAATAGAGAGCAGAAATAAAGTCTTCTGGTGATTCCCAAACCGAGTTCCCGCTTTTTCCAGAGAAACTTTTTACATCTTTGTATCCCAAAAGTACACAGAGTGGTTTAAAGCAACTGCCCAGCACAATGATATAAACTAGTTTGCTAATATTTTGTTTTATTTGCAAAGTATTGTCTCAACACTTTTTATCCTAAACTTTCCGAGTTTCACTCGGCTGGTGCAGCATTAAAGTAGGTATAAAATGTCATCTTTAGAAATATAAAAATCACCATCAAAGCAACATCAATCATGACCGATGCACACAGCCCTGTTAAAGCAGCAGAAAGAGAAGTCTTGCATATGACAATCCAAGTGCAGTTATGCTTTTCATACTTTTAATTATGGGGCTGATTGGCAAAATCAGAGGAGTGATCACAAAAGACTGGACAGCCCTCTCCTCTGCTTTCAGACTTAATGTAGGCCATACAAATATTAAACTCTAATACCAGCCTTGCACTTGTTGTGAATGTTAAAGACCATGACAAACTAGAGTCAATAATGCATCCCATTTGAACCGCAGGAGGTTGAATACCTTCTGTGAGCTGCAGTTATGACCTTACAAAACAACCACACTTTCCCAAAATTAATAAAAACCTGCAGTGAAGCCAAAATTGAAGCTGTGTCTTTTTCTTTTTTTTTTTTTTTTCCTGGCAGTTCTTACCTTTTTGTTGTTCTCTTTAATATCTTGAGGATTCAGGGACTTGTAGTCACTGAGGGGGAAAATGGCACAGTGGGTATGTACAGTATTTGATAAAAGCAGCAGTTTTAAAACAAACTGAATCTAAAAATTTGACATACAGTAATATCATACAGTAACTAGCAATTTCACAGCAATTCAATCAACAAAACTAATAGTGTGGAAAATTAAAGGAATAAATAAATAAATAAATAAATAAACACCGATTACATGTTTCATTGCCTGAAGCTTTCCATCTAAAAAAGAAGTTAAGGCAGGGACTAGAGGCCAGCCTTGACAACCAAATTTACCAGGAGGTAATCCGTCCTTGTCAGCGTACAAAGAGCTTATTCCTCTCATCTCATTTCAACACCAGCACAATTTTCATAACCATCCTGAAGTCAGTTCTTTGTATGAGATTAAGAAGAAGAGAAACAAATCACAGAGAGGGAAGAAACAATTGTTTATGCCACAAGAGAGAACGAGGAGGTCATAAAGTTTGAGAATTCATAAATCTGTTTTCTTAGAAAGGATGGCTCCCTGCTTGAAAGAAAAGGGTGAAAACAGTTCAACACCTGAAAGCAACAGGGATTTTATTTTTACGTAAACTTAAATGTTATATATTTCTATGAGAGTTAGCTTATGCAGGCAAAAAGTACACAACTTACATTAGGTCTGGTCTAAAGTGATGTAATATTGCACAAAAGGATAAACCGTTTCTCCACGATGTAGTAAAATTGGTGATTTTCACTCCCCTATAGTTTTTTGTAACTTCTTTGCACCACACAAGAAGTGACTGACTTGCATTTGGCTTTCTCCCCAACACAGGACTTGGTATTGGGCTTGGCTGGAAAAAAAAAACAAAAAAAAAAAACAGGGGAAAAGAAAAAAGAAAAGAAGATAAAAGAATTTAATGGAAGATGAGAATTAACATTAATTGACCTAACTAGATGATCTGTATCCTTTGATGTGAGTTTAGGTCCTTCACAGCTGTCAGTTTACAATGACTGTAACTTGCAAAAGACACAAATCGCAAGTTATTACCTCCAGTTGTCGCCCTTGGCGCTTGTCTCCAAAGGATGTAGATACACAGGATTCCAGATCTACATAGGAGAACAGGCCAAGAATTGCACCCGTGGAAACACCATGCTTAAATACTTAAGGCAAAGTCCTGCACAGCCCGGGATACACACCCTTGAAAAGATTTCCCAAAATGCAGCCATGGAAAAGCATCCCCACAAGCCCTTTCACATTTAATGAAGATAACACTGTGCCTGGATCAAAAGCCAGGCTTAGCAGAGTTTACCACGAGTTGCGATTTACCATTGAGGTGTAGGGATCAAAGTCGCCGTGTCTGTGACATGTGATTAATACATTCATCATTCATCTCATATAGGCTCTGGTGTAAAGTTTTTGGCTGTGCTCTTCCTGTTTAAGCACGCGATTGCATGAAGGTAATTGTGGCATGGTGTTTCTAATCGGCCACTTCCAACCGTACCCAAAGAGCTTCCTCTTCCAGGCTTTAGCTTTTTTATGTGGAAAAGGAATTTTGGTCATAAATCCTTATCAGAGGGTGTCTTCTAACATGTATCATTATTTAGTAACGATCATTTTCCAATAGAGTATTTTGACTCTTTTAGTTACATTTTTGTTAGCATAAGCCAAGAATTAAAATGGAATAAAATATTTCCCAGATTCAGCAGAGAACACACTGATTGCAGCTGATGTTTTCAAGAAATACACAGTCATTTCACCAGAAAAATATTGTCATTTTAAAAACTTCTTACATGTAATTAAACAGAATTTGACTGACATAAATCCGAAGTCTGAGTTACAGGGAAAGAACTGAGCCCACTTGTTTTTTCAATGTAATATAATTACAAGCACACACACACAACAAACATGCTTTTTATGCACTTTATAGCTAGAGACTTCCCAAATTAAGATAAAAATAGAGCAAGTAATTTACTATATCAGAGGCACTTAAGTTGAACAAGTAAATCCTTGTGGCCATATTACCTATTTGTGAAAGACCAACGATGCCCCCACTTGACTGAAGTATGTCAGTGTAAAGCAATTAGCTGCTAGCTACCAACTGATTTATGTTTTCACTGCTTCTGGGGAAGAAAATGTACAGAACCAGGAAAGTAATTTTTCATTTACCTTGACACTCTGCCCTAAGAAGTTGTTTTATAAACACACCTACCTCATCATCAGATAGAAGCACTGCCAGCTCATTTAGAAAGTGCAAAATATCTGCCCTGCTGAGATTTTTTTTTACCAGATCATTTGCACAAAATAACTTGTTAAAAAATGTTTTGCCTTTTTTTTTTATTTTTTTATCCTCTCAGCAATTCAAATCAGCATGAACAAATCTGTTAATGATGAGACAATATCTCTGAACACACTGAATTAACATCTTGACAGGGATATATAAAATAGGGAACAAAAAGCAGCAATAAACGAACTTTCTTCACCATGCATCAGATTTTAATCAGAGAGTTAAAGATTTTAATCAGAGAAATAAACACTGCTTAGAAGCTGCCAGACAGTTACTCCAGATTCAGAGTGATGTAACTAATATCAGGTTTTTCTCCTGTTTTTTTTACAGCTCGAAGCAAAACCCAGTAACTAACCAGTGACCCCAAATTTAAGGTACTACATTGCTTAAAATACATTTGCTATCTAAATTATATATATGAAAATAACGCTGCTGAGAGAAAATAATTAAAATAGTACCATTAAGATGTGGAAAAATGGTATTTTAACAAATTTTTAAAGCACAGAGCCACATCCTCAAACCATAGAGCACTACTTACCAGATGTATTAAATGTTAACTATAAAGTCTTGATACTTGTTGCTGAAACTCTCTACAGAACTGTTGAATGTTCCAGTCAGCACCTAAATACCTTCTGATTATAAAAACAGGCTGAGGAAGTTGGGGCTGTTCAGCCTGAAGAAGAGAAGCTGCGTGGAGACCTCTTAGCAGCCTTCCAATATCTGAAGGGGGCCTATAAGGATGCTGGAGAGGAACTCTTCATCAGGGACTCTAGTGGTAGGACAAGGGGTAATGGGTTTAAACAGGGGCAGTTCAGGTTAGAAATAAGAAAGAAATTCTTTACTGTGAGAGTGGTGAGGCCCTGGCATAAGTTGCCCAAGGAAGCTGTGAATGCTCCATCCCTGTCGGTGTTCAAGGCCAGGCTGGACAGAGCCTTGGGCAACATGGTCTAGTGCAATGTGTCCCTGCCCATGGCAGGGGGGTTGGAACTAGATGATCTTAAGGTCCTTTCCAACCCAAACCATTCTATGATTAACCCTGAAAAGGCCATAGCCAATATTATCATTCAAATCCTTAATTGCACATCTACCAAATTGAAAATGTAACTTTTATTTTAAAACTAAGTGTTACAAAAGGACACCCAAGTCTATTAAATCAATTCAGCAGAATTTTGCATTTTATTTACAAATAATAGTTTTTTTTAAATCCAGGTTATAATTCTTTGAAAATCTATACTTCAGTTGGAGCTTTTTTCTATGTTTGTCATTCCATTAACTTCAGATTTTCTGTAAGTATGCAGAATATGCAAGATTTATAATGAACGTACTTACAGAGTTTTCTCTAGCTGATAAAGCAGAAATTATATACTGCTTTCTTTCCAGAATCAGTATTCCCAAGTTTTCTGGATAAAGGTGGTGTTAATATTATGATAATATTATGCTTTTATTCACCACCTGAATCAAAGCTTTTGTTATTTCATCTATGATAAAAACATTTAACCGAAGACACATTGGAAATGTATGAACAATGCAGAACTGTGCATGAGCACTTGACATCCCTTCAGAAGGGTTAACAAATGTCAGTTTTGATTTTTTTGTGAAGCATCATTATGAAAAACATTTTCTTTAGATACTTGTAGATATTAATTACAGGTTCAGTGCAAACACAATTACTACCAAGTGCCTATTTCTAGCATGTGTTTGCTCAACAAGATTGGTGGGAACCCATCAAATGAAATGAAAATTTAACTAGCTTTTTCTTACATAGTTCTTTTAAACACTGACTACACAATTCTACATCACATGGCAGTCATGACTTGGCTTTTTGAGTTCAAAAGCCAAAGTCTCCGACAATTCATTTGGAAATTGCCACTAAAAAGCATGCGATATCCATTACAGATCTGCTCGCTGATCAACAAGTGACTGAATCTGATCAGCTGATTTTTATCCAGCGGTGGATTAACTGTATGGCAAGTGCATACAGTTAATCAGAGCTGGTCCCTCATGTGGTAGCTCAGATCTAGAGCCAGCATCATGTAGGTGGATTTATCAGCTGGAGTCAGCACTACCTTCAGGATGTGTTTGCTTCATAGTCAACAGAAGCACTTAATTCTCTTTACTCTTCTTATTTACATGTTCTGGAAACCTAGTTAATACATTTTATAGTGTTGGAACCAGATGATCTTAAGGTCCTTTCCAACCCTAACTATTCTATGATTCTATGATTATCCCATCAGACCATTACTCTATATTAACAGGAGGACAATAGCTTTAAATATTAGGCTGCATCCATAAATCGTAAAACAAATAAATAATTATTTTGCTGCTCTCAAATGCAGCACCAAGTGCACTGATGTTTGCAAAGTAATGTTTGAGCTGCACCTGACTCACAGAGGCCAACACTCAGGAGAAGAAAACCAAGACAGGAACTGATGATGTGAACATGGACCTATGAATCAAGCCGTCGTATGAGACACAGGGAGCAGCCAGAAGGAAGATCGTAGGGGCTCAGTCTGAGTAGCTCTCAAGAGCTTGTTGACAGGTTGCATTGGGGCAGAGGAGTTTCAAGAGAGCAGAGGCAGTGTTGAAGGCTGGAAGAGAAAGATCATAGAATCATAGAATAGTTAAGATCACCTAGTTCCAACCCCCCTGCCATGAGCAGGGACACCACACACTAAACTATGTCGCCCAAGGCTCTGTCCAGCCTGGCCTTAAACGCCTCCAGGGTTGGAGCATTCACAACTTCCTTGGGCAACCTATTCCAGTGCCTCACCACCCTCACTGTGAAGAACTTCTTCCTTATATCTAACCTAAAGTTCCCCTGTTTAAGTTTAAAGCCATTACCCCTTGTCCTACCACTAGAGTCCCTAATGAAGAGTCCCTCCCCAGCATCCTTGTAGGCCCAAAGATGCTGAGAGGAGTTAAGAAAAAAGAAGTATGTAACAGCTATGGGAATCTTGACTGAAGACTTACGTGGTTTGAGTTTTATATTAATGGACACAATTCACCAAAGAAGAAAGGAGAGAACAACCTAGGAACAGTAATGAACTGCAGGAGGAGAAGAAGCTGAGATTGAGATAGAGCTGAAAGACAGAACAGGGGAAACTTACTCGCAGTCAACAAACAAGCTTTGTTCCTCAAGAAGCAAGTACAGGCAATGGTCTCTCACTTATTTGACTGAGCAAAACAAAAGGGATTTTCCCTTACCTCTGTCAAAACTACAATGCTATCTAGGCCCACTGAACATTATGAAACCATTAAAATGCAAGATAAAGTGAAAGAACACACAACTAGGTAAGGCAAAGTGTGCAGCATGTGCCTGAATGAAAGAAAAAGGGGGAAACTCAGCTGAACAGAGTAGTCTGAAAAATGGTATAAAAGTGCAATATAAACAAGACACGCTAATACCTTTCAGTCAAATAGATAATTTTACATCTTTAGGACTATACTTCAGAATTTTATTTTTTAAACAACACAGGGCTTTACTCATAGGAATTGCTTAGCCCAGGAGTATCCTAAATTGAATATGGCTCATTTAATAGAATTTATGCCTTTGTCAAAGTCTGTAC